TTGCATTGTTCACGACCCCGTTAACATACTTTTTACAGCCCAACTTCGAATACACATCTTCTCAACATGATATTGCAAACCTTCTGTTGAGCCTGAAAGTGATCTCATTTGAAGAGCTTGTAACTGCTGTCAATGAGACCTTGAAAGAGGCAGGTGTGAAAGCTACCAAAGTTGGAGTAGCAGACAAGGTAAATGTTGGTGTTTATTGTAAAAAGGAAGCGATTTGATTATGTCGTTTAGGCTGCTTTCCCGACTGAAGCACCCCTTCTTGAGTTGCTGCATGGTTGTGTGAAGGCTCTGCCTACAGCTCAATTGCAGTCTTGTTGGTTACCTTTTCAATCTTTGTTTGCGGACGCACCGTTGGCCAGCCTTCCTCCGCGCGCAGTCTTTTTACTGTTCATGTACGTTCCTTGGATGTTTCGATCGTTTGGTACTGACCAGTCTGTTACAGAATTTTGTGCGACTATGTGCGGTGCGCTGGCGCTTCGTACATTGTTGAGGATAAGACGATGTCTCGTGCCGTTCAAGACGCAGTACAACGACTCACTGAAGCTGTCAATGCTATCGTTGGTTGGCAGTTGGAAACAACCACATGGCTGAAGAGAACTCTCGTAGTCAAGCACGACCAAACTAGTATGTAAAAACTTCTTGTAACCACATTTTTCGTTTTTTCAACGTTATGATAGAACAAAGCCGAGCAACTTAGGTACTCGTTCTCAAGATGCTAGTCCATCAGTTGAACTGAATACGCCTCTCAATACGCCACTCCCTTCTCTGAACCAGTCGGAACAAAATTCTATGCGTGGCTCTACTTTGTCTTTGATGACGCGGTATGTTTGAACCTGCCTCTTTATCAATCATCTTTGATGCTTGCCTCTCTATCAATCATCTTTCGAATTTTCCATATGTCACAAGGTTACAAATGTATACTCATCTACAGACCTTCTTCTTTGGATGCTGGTACTAGCGCAGGCTCATTGGTCGAGAAGAAAAGCGGTTCCAATCTCCGAAGTTCTGTAAAGGACACAAACAACAATAAGCGTGATCCATCTCACAGCACACAAGCCCTGTTTCTTTTGGCAGAGGTATGCATTAAATCTGGGGGATTATGTTTCAGTGCATAACACTGCTTGTTATAGAACTTGGCAGAGTTGGTGGATTCCGTATGCAAGAGCGATGATAAAGAGAGGCTTTTGCCAACACTCCACGCCGTTTGGGGAAACGTCGTTCCTTATTTGAAAGCCAAGAAGTATGCGATATTTTCAATTTTTGGCTTTGTTTCTTCTGTGCATCGCAAATGTATATTTCAGCGCCCGAAATTCGAGATTTTTCTTGGCTTCATCGCAGTTGTTGGCATCCATGAGCTCGTTTAGTTACATGCGTCCGGTTTGGAAGAAGACTACGCTTGAGCTGCTGCTTGATTCATGTGAGTGACTGTAAAATTTGAGCGGAAACTGACTTGGTGAAGTAATCGTTACATTTCGAAGAAGTATAGTTCATTTGGGTTTGACTTCGTTGGATTACCTTTCATTGGTTTTTCGACCATAATGTATGCACCTGTACAATAATCGTCACACCTGGATCAAGTTGAAGCAACCGATCCCACAGGATGTGCAAAAATTACTTGACCGTCTTATTAGCTTACAATTTTTCGCTATCATTTGGATCACAATATCGGATATCACTATATCAGCTACTTACATTGTAAAGCGTCTCTTTCAGCATTCTTCAAGATGGATATGCATTCTCTGAAGCAGTGGTTGATAGTGACCGATCACTTGATGACGCATGACAAAACATCGTTCAAGGACTTACTCAGTTAGTGTTTAGACCTTTTTGCACTCCCCTTGATCTGCCAGCTGCCCGAACTTCTTCATTCCAGAAAGTATCGCATATACGCCAAATGCTTCCTTCAGTATCATGACATCGAAAGAAC